GATCTGAAAATTGGGCAACGTCCGAGTCTTGAATACGTACAGTCAACGCTGCACCTCTTTAAGAATAAACTCAGTCAGTGTTACTGTAGATATCAGTCAGTTAACCAATTTACGAATCAAGTCACCAGCCAGAAGTCAGCCAACAGCTGTAAAGCTTTTCACCTACTGTTGTAGGTAGCCATGTTTTTTGCTTTCTTTTTGTGGATATTCCTCCAAACTACTCTATGGACATGCACTATTCAAAGGGATTTCAACATTTCTTTTCACGACCAGACGAATTCATCTCAATATAATTATACGGAGGAAGAAGGTATGTGAGAACTTTGACATTTTCAACATTTAAAATTTTCTTTCATTTTGAATATTTTGTTTCATGTTCGATGTTCAACTCGCCATAATAAAATAAAATAAATGCTTTGCCATTTATCATCCTTGGAAATGAATGTTTAAAACCATGATTAATACGATGCACTAGATTACAAAACTTTTGGTGAGATAAATTAAGCGAGTAGTAAGATTTTACATATTAACAACTACAAAAAAGAAAATTAACAATTTGTGGAGAGAAGGAAAAGAAATTATCAGAATAATCAAATACCATTTGTCAATATGTTTGAGAGATAGGAAGTATAAATTGATTTAGTATTTACCAGACTACGAGCTGTCACAATTCCAGCAAAAATGCCGCATTCTGATTGGCTACTGAACCATTGCATATTCATTATATACCATTATACTGAGCATCGAATGTACCCTGCGTTATTTACCTTACCTTAGCAAAAAATTTGCGACTTTTTTACTGAGGTAAAACTCTGTTCGCAGGGTACACCGAATGAAGCGAAAATGCCCCAAAAATGTCGAGAAAAGATGTTCCTTGTCGTCTTTTTCGTCGCTTCCGTAGTTTGGTGGTTACTAAAACAATCATCAATTTATTATTCAATGTCTCTTTTAAACCATTGATGAGCGCAGGAATTACGATATCAAACAAGAAAATACCACAAAGGCAAAACAATGCCTCTTGTGAACCATCGATATATGTCAAAGTGTATGAAAAAACACAACACTAAAGACCACTGGAAAGAAATAAACCAAAATAACTCACAGTGCACTTAGTAACTTCATTTCCAGTTATTGTGGAAATTGACTAACACAACCCCAACGAACCCGTACAACTGCAAAATAATGCGGCCATACTCTTTACCAGATATTTTGTTTTTCTTCAACAGAAGGCGGATTTGGCGGAGTGGAAAATCTAAATCACATATTCGCCAAAACTGAGCCTCCGCAACCTCCAGGACTGCAGTGTCCTGATAATTATGTAGTTGATAAAAGAAACAATATATGCAGAGAGAAGTTGCCTTCTCCAACGGTTGCTAACGAGACAACCAATATAACTAATGGTACCTATGTCTTTTGGAGAATGAACTGCTCAAATCAATCGCTTTTAATGGTCGACGAAGGAGACTTTTTGGTCTTGGAAAATAAATCTGTGTTTGTGAACGCTTCAAAGATGACTTATGATAAGTCAGAATATATCTGGATGAATCGCAGTGTCTTGGTGTGTGTCAATCATGCTGTTGCCTATCAAATTAATTGTTCGGGAAATTGGGGACTGATGAACGAAAGCGAATACTCGATTCTGTCCAACAAATCCATTTATGTGAACGCTTCTCTTATGCTATACGATCCACCGAAATTTATTTGGAATAAACAAAATCTTTATGTCTGCGATAACCTTTTCGTAGACTCTGACAACAGGAATATCATGTCAAACGAAGATGATGATATCATTTCGGATTTGACAATTGTATGCATGTCAATATCGATTTTTGCACTGGTCTTTGTCCTCATCACCTATTCCTTGTTCACCGAGCTAAGAACACCACCAGGTATTAACCTCATGAACCTCAGCGTTGCCATTCTGCTCTCACAACTCTTGTGGCTTGTTGGAAGTAAACAACTGACTGACAAACCCATGGTTTGTACTGCCATCGCTGTTCTTCTTCACTACTTTTTCCTGGTTTCTTTCGTGTGGACGTCCATCATCGCATTTGACACTTGGAGGGCCTTCACTGCAAAACGGAGACGTTCCATGGTTGACTCGAAGCGCAAAAGACTGCTGCATAGCTTGCGATATATGGCTGTTGGATGGCTGTCTGTCATGGTGTACGTTTCAATCTGTGTGGCTCTTGACCAATCACAGACAGTCGCCATAGGATATGGGTCACGTGTAGCCTGCTGGATTACTAACTTCGATGCCAAATGGATTTTCTTTGCAACTCCTCTGGGGCTCGTCACCGTCTTCAACATTGTCTTCTTCTCCATGACGGTAAAAGCGATCAGGTCTACCCGTAGCCAAGCCAGAATGGT